AAAGTGCAGAAAGCTGAGGCACATGGTAGAGTATATCTGAGCAGGGCGGTAGCCAGGATGTGAGAAATACTGCAGCCCCAACCCGAAGAGGAGTTCTCCAGAGAAAAAGGCTGTGGGATTTTCTGATTCTTTCGTTCTCATTTTCTCAGTTCATTAAACTGTTTAGTTCTGTAATTTGTATTTACACACATGATGTCCAGTGTGTAGGATTTAGCTGCATCTAGCGGTGTAGTTGGAGATTGCAACTCCCTTGCTTCACTTCCAAGCAAGAAGGAGAAACTACGTTAAAGCTGATGTTTTAGTTTTTTCGTTTTTTTCTAGACTACTGTAGAAACATGGCAGTTCAACATGATAGACTCTGTAGAAGAGAACCAGCTCCCTCTGTAGATAAAAATGGATCATTCTAAGGTAACAAAACTACAACAATTCTTGCTTTCAGGTGATTATACACTAATAAAAAAAAATATTATATTCCATTTCTGCCAATAGATCCTGCTAAATGTTAGTGGACCTTTAAAGGAATATTTTGACATTTTGAAATACACTTATTGACTTGAGAATTAGACAAGAAGATCAATACTCGGTTTATTTTAATCTGGAGCAAGGTGACAGTTAAATTAAGATAAATTAACTTTGTGGTTAACTTAAGCTAAGATAACCACAAAGTTAAGCTCAAGGACAGGAAGCCAGCTAGTCTGGCTCTCTCCAAAAGTTAAACACAGTCTGCCTACCAGCACCTCTAAAGCTCACATTTTCTATCATGTTTATAACCAAACCAAAGTCAAACATTTTTACTTGCTTTTTTAGTTTTTTGTACAGATTAAACAAACTCTCTATCCTTTTAGCTCTGTTTACATCTCCACCAACTCTAGAAGGATATATCTGATTCTTTAGCTAAATACTCCACTATGTTCACCAGCTAATCGCTAACTGTGACTGCCATTGACAGTATATTAAGTTAACAGACCTTCTGGGTCTGTGACGTGAAGCCAACTGTGTTAAACATGCATTCTATGTAAAGGTCAGCAGGGGGCAGCTCCATTGGCTGCAAAAAAAAATAGCAACGGTGTGGAGTCTTATGGAGAAATGACTCTATTTCACTTGATTTATTAGCTCAGGTTCATTTATTAAATTATGCTTCAATTTAGAGTAAAAAAGGTGATAAGGCAGGGTATGCTTTAGGGCGTGGCTATCTTGTGATTTACAGTTTCATTCTCATTGAGTCCGTCCAGCTCAATGCACGAAACTCAGATTAAACTGTCAAACTATGCAGTGCTGAACAAATATGAATCAAGATTCTGTTCTGGTTTTTACAAGGTTTACAAAATGAACATCATGCTGTAAGGAAGAAAACTTGTAACTAGTAATTAAGGCCATACAATCATTAGGAAACTGTTTACTGAGCTAATAAATCAAGTGAGAATAGGGTCATTTCTCTATAAGACTGTATGGTATTGATGTTTTATTGCAGCCTATGGAGGTCTATGCCATTACTTAGAATGCAAGTTTAAGACACTTCCACATTGACCAGGTAGCTCTGTTCATTATATATACTGTCAATAGTCCAAACAGTACTTCACAAATGTGACATCACAATAGGTTAACACTTGGTCTACACTCTGGTGCTGAGCAAGTGGTGTATTTATCAGAGTGCCTTCTACCACTGAAAACAACGCTGATGAGAGCCGTGAGAGTGACTAAAACAGTAAGGTTGCAGGCCGTGAAAACCAAAACAATGACCTGAGAGACACTAAAACGTTCTGTAGAGCTAGAGTGGGGTGATTATTCTCAGTGCGGGGCGTCACTACAAGTAACACCTTACACATTACACATAGTAATTTAATGTGTTAATATAAAAAACACTGATTAATGCAGCTTTAAACATATTTAGTCGAAAAACCCACCATGTCTGACTTGACTTGTGTGCTTGATGTGGTAGCTACAGCTCAGTATGTGACTTATCAGAGTAGTGCTCTAATTGCATGAACAATCATAATTCAGAGCATCTGTGTGCATGTGTGTCTCACCCCGCAATATTTGCTTTCATTAAATATCTGTGGGGGGAGAGGGTTCCCCGTAGCCGGCCTGGACTCCTCCGGAACATTCTCTCTCATCCACTTTCTGTTGGCCTCGTTGGCTGCGATGTCACACTCCTCGAATTCGATCTTATTGGCCGCCAGGAAGCCCATCACATCCTGCTGCTGCTTTTTAATCTGCGTGCGGGGGAGAAGAGAGAGGAGGACAGAGGGGAAGTTGTCAGTTAGACATGTGTGACAACTTCAGCCTTATGAGGAAACATAAGGGGCCTCGGTTCACCATACTGTCATCAGCCTGCTGCAAAAATAAGGACACTTCTTCTCTGCTGTGAGAAATTACACTACAGAGATCACTGGCTGCTCTGTTACTAAGTTACCACTCATTTGCTGACAAGTGAATGAAGCAATACAAGAGTATTGAAGAGGGTGAACTCAGGCAAGGCTAAGCCAGGACAGACTGTGTTTGATCTGCATGAAAAACGGCAACTCCCAAGACTCCCATAATCACTTACATTTTAACAGGAAATTTCACTGTGTTTCAAATGGAACCACTTCAAATGCATTTGTAATGTGTTGCATACTTTAATTTGACAAACTGTCAAAGCCTATCATTTTTATACAAGATAGGGAGCAAAGAAAAACTCTGTTGGCAGTCCCCATGTGAGAGCTGCTGTCTTTTTCACTATGTGGGATTTTCATGCAGATGTGATTATTTTTGAAAGGCATCCTATTCTCACAACAGGCAGCTCTGTTGCATTGGAACAAAAGCGTATTCAACACTTGTCTCATTGTGACACTTATAAAACAGTCCATCCTGCTCAATGCAAACCCACAATATTTGTATCTAGTAGGATGCAAATAACCAATAACTCAACAGGAAGTGTATCAAGAATGGCACGGTGACATCATATAGGATCACACCTTTTTCTCAAATATAGGCACACACAGGAAGACAATAAATAAGCTACAAAATGGATAGAAATGTGTGCTTGTCTGGATGTGTTGTTCCTGCTTCTGCCTCTATATATATGGATGTGTGTGTGTGTGATTCAGTGTATGAAATTGTGGTCCAATGAGTTCTCAGTGGGTGTGTGTAAAAGGGAGGATGCCCCTACAAGGCCAGACGGAAACAAGAGCTCCTCTGGGACTCGAGAGGAGGTAACTGGTCAAACACAAGCCAAATAAGGCCTGCTGCAAGGAGACACACACACACATCCAGTCTCAGCTGCACACACACATTCACACACCTAAAATCAAACTCAAGCCAACTTCATTGTGGAAGCACTACAAGGTTCTATTGATGATTGTCAATTTATTGTCTTCCTGTCAGCCCAGACACCTCCATGTGAGGGCTCCTCCCAGCTTCCAGACAGGTGGATTATTAAACAGCCATCTGCTGAAACAACACTGGGGCATGGAAATGAGGGAGCTGACAATGCTGGCAGATTAGCCGTGATACAGTTGGAATCATTTAATGGCAGTTGCATTCCCGTGGCCAAAGTCCTCAAACCAGCTCTTTCCCCACCTGCTCTGGGACAAAGCAACGGGGTGGAACGCCATGAGCTCAAACTCACTTTAATTTGCTCTGTCTCTAAACACAGACAATCCTCTGTCTGTCTCTTTTTTCTCCCTTTTGGCTTACATTAGCATTGTACTCTTAAACAACAATAAACTATCCTAAATTGCTAAAATGGCAAGTTCAACACAATGCTCCACTTTCTCCTCTTTCCTGCACTCCACTCCCCCAGCAAGCCTGCATTGTACTGTTGCCAAGCAAAATTAATTTGTAGGGCAAACTGGCCACATGCCATCTGCCCCTAACTCTAATTGTACAGTGACAGCTCCCTCCCAGCTTTGCCCCGTTTAGCCCTTCGCATTGCTCCCTGGTGGCTTGTGTGGAGAGGCTGAGCGATTTTAATATGGAAGAAAACAAACTGACCCTGGCTTTGGGTGTGGTAATAAACAACTACTCTTCTCTTGTTGCCTTGTTATTATTCACTCCTTATCTATCTGTCCCTGGAATGCTAGAAGATTAACTCCTCAGGTCTTACAAGAAAGAGTGAGAGAGATGAGCCAGTGTCAGGCCTGCAGGAAGTACCTGTAGGCCTCAAGTTTTGATATTCATAAGCAACACTTTCTCTCACACTAGGTAAATAGCTTGCCTTTTTAAGCAAATGCTGACATTGAGCTTGACAAAATGCAAAAGCAGGCACTGTCTCGGAGTAGGTTGTTTTTTTCTCTAAATGTGGCTCAGGCTACGCTAGCTGGAAGGCTATTTGAAATGCAAAAATGGATGGTCGTTCCACCACTTTGGAAATATCTCCAACATTAATGAACAGATTGACGTTCATTGTCCACGGATAATGGATCCTTCTGACTTGGTGTTTCCTTCTTTTCCTCTAGCACCAACATGAAATGGACATTTTTGCTTTTTAGTGAAATATCTCAAAAACTATTGGATGGCTTACCATCAGATTTTGTACAGATATTTATGGTCCCCGGAAAAGAAATCCAGGTAACTTTTTCTTTGTTGACACAAGCAGGTAAAAGTTTTTACTGTGAAATAGAACTCATTTTTGTGCAGACATTCATGGTTCCCAGATGATAATCCAATGACTTTTGTGACTTTTCTTCTAATGCCACCATGTGTCACCAACATGCTACCATTTGTGGTTTGGGTAGAATGGCTTGACATTGGAAGGATTGCCATAACATTTAGGATAAACGTTCATGTCCCCCTTGGGATGAATTGCAATAACTTTAGTGATTCCCAGACTAGCAACATCATCAGGTCAAGTTTCTATTTGTCAAATACTTTGGTTTATGACCAAATACCAAAATCACTTTCCTACAGACATTTAGTTAGTTCTTTTGTTCGTTTGCTGTTATTGTGACATTTGCTATCGTAGTAGAAGAGTTGTGAGTATCGCTATCTTGAGCTGCTGTGCTGGCTCTGGGAAACCGTCTCGTCCTACCAGCACTGCCTAGTTTGACAGTTTGATGAAAGTGTCGTGTGGTGTGCTGAGAATTAGTTGTCAATCACAAGGTAGCCACGCCCAAAAGCATACCCTGCTAATTGTCTATTTTAACTCTTAAATTGGACCATAATTTACTAAATGGACATCAAGCTGTATGGAAGAAGACTTAAAACTAGTAATTAAGAGTATAAACTCATTAGGAAACCGTTTACTGAGCTAATAAATCAAGTGAGAAATTGGGTTATTTCTCCATAAGACTTCATTGTATTGGTTTTTATTGCAATGGAGCCCCCCCTGCTGGCCCAGAAGCCCTGTTCATTATATATATAGTCAGTGTTGCAAACCCACAACCTAGCTAATGTTGGTTACATTACTTGCTGTGTTGTTGATCGCTCAACATCATGGTATTTGTCATAGTATTGGATTTCTCCAGAATCCCCCACCTTTAAAAAAGTTTACTAAAGTGATTTCAAATGTTTCCTACAGAAACTGGATGCAACAAAAACGATTTGACACTATCTGTTTTATGTCGTTTTTTAATTGCACACTGATAACAATTTTATCAGCTCTGACCTGGCACTCTACTCATGTGCTATCACACTCCCAAGACAGTCCATGTTCACACCCATGGAAGGACTGCAGCACTAATTAGATGATTCAGTGTGTGTACAAAAGTGAGCAAGTCTGAAATGAATGCATTCGTGTATACATGCAACAATATGAGAGGTTATATGCACACCAAAAAGCTCATTTAAGTTATTTAAAAAAAATTGAACAACAATTCATTTCCAATGCATTTGCTATTGAAACTAAGAGGCAATAAAGAGGAGATAAATCTATTCTTGCATGCATCATTATTTTGTAGAACCTAAGAAAACTGCAGATGTGGAGAAGAAATCTGCGACATATGCTCTTTGGTTTACATTCCACATCATCATCATCGTCATGTGAGAGCTGTGGCGGGGCAATGAGATCAGATCCAGACCAGATCAATCCCAGAAAAAGGGCAGAACTATGGCAACAGCTGCCAGACAATGGCAGGCATTGATTGGACACACTGTATCCACAACACAGGCTTCGATCAATATGGTGGGGACTGATTCAATCTGTTATGTCGACTCAGGCTTGGTGTCAATTCATGTTCAATTCACTCAGATGAAAATTAAAAGACATTTAAACTGAAAACTTCTTTATAGATAAGACTAAATGACTCTTCTGAAGTCCAACATTGGAATGCAGCAAAGTCCACTGTCTGGACTACAGGAAACATGAATCAACTCCAGGCCTGTGTGTTTGTAAGGGATAAAGGTTTTTTGTCTTGATTAGATCAAGTCTGATTTCTGCTGAAAAACCGACAGTTACTGGAATTTTAGCAGCAACAGTAGCCTCCACCCAATCCTGAGCTCAGTCAGCATTACAACATTGTTACAAAAGAGCCTTACGCTGCTGCCTTGGCTGGGTTCCCTCGCTGCTGCCTAAAGGTGAAACAACAGCGAAAAGGCCAAAATGACCCGGTATTAAAAAAAAAACAACTGACTCACGAGCAGCCGTCCAACTCAAGCCTGACCTATTAGACCATAATGTCAAACCTGCAGTGGAATGAAGGAGGATTTGGACTGTGCATATGCAGTACACAGTGAAAAAATATTCCCAAGTTATTGTGATACCTTTATTGCAGTAATGAGGAAATGGTACAACAGTGGGGCTGCAGTGCATAAAGGGAAATGAGGCAGTAAAAGTACTGTGGTGCTGGCCGATGTTTTTGGCTCTTTCCACAGATGTACTTTCAGTTTTATGATGGCTTAGTGCCCCACAGTCTGAATACACTGCTACAGGTGTGTGTGTGTATTTACATGTCTGTATGTAAAAATGTAAATCCTAATTTGGTATTCAAATCTGGTTTCCATATAACCAAAGAACAAGGAAAACAAGAATAAATAGTACTATTATTCTCTAAAAAGATATTTTAAGTATCAAAAGAATGTATTTATTCTTTCATTTTATTTCCGTCACACAGCTCATGGGTATGGAGTATCTTTACAAAGCCATTGATGGTAACACTAGAAGTCCCTCTGGAGAATTCACAACGAGTCACAACACCATTTCTTCAGGTGACTCAAACACTCTGCTTCTCATTACTGGGTGGAAATATGATGAGGTCAGGCCTCATTCAGGACTAGCACAGGTCAGGGGTCGGGGAGGAAGTCTAAGCTGGCAATCAGTGCTTTGCTCTTGGACCCTAACCCACATAAACTGTGGCAGGGAGGAGCCCTATTTTTTATATTTTTCATGTGTTAATATATGATTATGATTAATATACAAGACTGTTTTGTGGTGTTATTCTGTACTGCAGCATCACAATTTCACTCATTTAACATTTTTTCCAGGACTATTACTGGTATTTATAGAAAGAAGAGCCGATGGGAACACACCCTCTATTCATCATTCGTGCAGATAGAAGATGTTGAGGAACAGTAATGTTGACACAACTCACGTTTGTTCCTTCATTTTCTGTCCTGCCTATACTGTACTTCTCTCTAACTGACCTTTGTGCATTATTTCACATCTGTTAATCAGCTGTGGTTGTCTTGTATTGGAAATAGAAGAGTTCAGTCCATTAAACTTTATGGTTCTTTAGATGTTTACTGGCCTTGATGCTACACAGAACCAGTTTCTGCATAAAACCAATAAGCACTAAAAGCAATAAATGTGCTTTAACTTGGAACAGAATTTTATGTCTTTACATCTGCCTGAATAACGCTGACTGTTGCAGCTTGTCAAGCGCTGAATCTGATACATCCCTCCAGCTAATTTTACACCGTCTCTTTCACTGACCTGTAACTATTTCCTCAGTGGAGCAAAATCTTTAAAATGTTGTTTTTGAAGTACTCCCACTTGTCTCCCTGTTTGGGCTGTTGCTTCAGTCACATGTTGAACTAGATTGGAGTGATTAATGTAGCAGCAGACACTGCTGGATAGTGGAATGCAATCGCATTGTTTGGTCATCACAGATACCATCGAACTGCAAGCTTGGTGAGGGCAGTTTGTCACTCAGCTGCTTTTCACTAGTCCAAATGTAATGGTATTACATTCAAGATATATGGGAGAGAGATTCTAACATAAATACTAGACTAAAGTCCTATAAACTAATGTGAAAGCATGTCCTATATCTAAATCAACCCATAGAAATTAGTTAAAACCTACATAACATGTTTATCGCACTTTACTTTAATCGATTTCTTCCAACTCTAAAACAAAACGTAGAATGGAGATGATAGTATGAATATAAGTGTCTATATGCTGCATTTAAGAGGGCATAAGCAAAGTCTACTTTCAACACACTCCACTAAAGGCTGATCAATGAGAGGTAATGCATTTTCCCAGACAGGCTCCAGCACAGTGACTGGCTCTAAACGCCGACCGCTCGGACTTTAAAGGAAGCTCCCGTCCTGTAATACTGCTGCTGTCATTAACTGTAAGGGCAATAAAGTCACTCGGCGCTGTCCAACTGAAAAGAGGCTCTGTGCTCGATCACTTCCTCTGAATGCGAGCTGCGTAGACAAGTTGCTCAATGAGGGTACATCATCCCAAAGGTGATCCAAACCTCACGGAATGACGAGGCACAGTGACAACGAGGAAATGCGGGTTTTTAATGGACTTAGTAGATTTACTGGCTGTACAGAGCACTTTCAAATTTGCACTATTGAACATTTTAGTAACAATCTAAACCATTAGAGACACTATGTTGATGTCAGTAATATTTAACTGGTCACCGATCTTGTTGAAAATCATGCAGAAACTGTAAACAACATATATTTGATTACAGAATTCAAGCTTTAGAGCACTTTTTCAATATAAATGTGTATATTCCCACAAATCCAGACCTCCAACAAGTCCTAAACAGAGCATAAGTGTTCCTGGGCTGCAGCTGCAGGTCTAAAAAGGGGCCCTGGAGAATTGCATCACCATCATTCCTCTCCACTCTGGAAGAAACTGGCAAGAGTGAAGCTGACGGTCTTCTCGGCTGCAGGACAGTGAAGGCAACACTCAAGACTCTACTTTCAAGTCAGATCTGTCCCCCTAACAAACACAGCACACCGTGAACCACCCTGTCCTGGCATCAGGTGACAAAACAGACCATCTTGAGTGCATTTGTAGATTTTTACAACATGGCTATCCTGTTTGCTCAGCCTGGTTTCAGCTGCAAAAACACTAAACTAGCACGTCAGGAAACCCTGTGACAAACCACAGCTGAGAGAGAAGCGTGCCCTCAAACTTCCTCTCTGTCTCATTCTCTGTGAGAAAGTTAAAGAAGACAAAGAGGTAGAGTAGAAAAGACACTGAGAGACCCCCCCCATCTTTGTCCAAAGTCTTGAGGAGGGCAGAGCAGCATGCTTTCTGATGAGTCAGACCACTCCAGACTGAAAGGATGACAGCCTGGACATCAGTAAGTGAGTTCAATAAAAGTTCATGCTGCCTTTCTATGGCCAACCACAAGCCCTGGATGCTGCAGATTAAAAAAAACAAGTAACATATCAAAGCAAATGCAATTCTTGTATCTCTTACCGAAGTGGATCCAGAGGACGATGCTATGTACACTTTGATCACCATGATTAAAATCCCTGATGCTGATGCACGAGTCCGGTAAAGCAGAGGTCGGTCGCTCTGCTCCTTGCAGACACTTTGCAGACGGATTGCTCGGCAGCGAGACAGAGAAACACAACAACAACAAAAAAAAAACTTCCCCGGCTAAAAATGCTGTGTGTCTGGCGAAGGCAGCGCAGACTATCTGCGCAAATGCTCCGGTTCTCAGCACTGGATGGAGCTTGGCATTCCTCCTCCGCCTCTACTCTGCCTCCCCGCCCCTTCTAGTCTCTCACCCTCTCTCTCTCTCTCTCTCTCTGTGTGTGTGTGCAAAGCGGGAGCACACACTCCGAGACACGTACACGCACGCACTGAGAGGCAATAGGCCCATCGTGACGGCAAGACAACAGGGTTTATATTGTCTGAACATTTCAGCATCGAGCCCATTGTCTGTGCAAGCCAGACACGGGCTATTGTTCCGTGCACACTGCACATGTGCACGGTTGCAGGTGTTCCAGTAAATGCTGGTGTGGTAGGGTGAATGATGGGGTGCAGGGAAAAGGGGGTGCATAGAAATAAAAACAAATAAAATGTGCTGTGATTTTGAACACTCACTGTGCACAATGTTGTATGTGCAACAGCACAGCCACTGAAGCGCCGTCATGTGCAGCCACGGCATTACACGGGCTTCGTGGGCCCCCTGCAGGCGTCTGGAGCAGACGACGCACAGCTTTTCTCCCTGTAACGAATTTAGGAAAGCCGACTGACAAACAAAAAAAAAAAAATGTGTCGGTGAGGAGTGGGCGCCATATTGGATTCAAACACGAACTGAATTTATGGTGATTTGTTCTCCACACCGGGCCGCTGCAGATGTGAGCCCCGGGTTTTTAGACGCGCCAGCGAGGATGCATGGCTTTACACCGGGGCATGTTGCCCGCCGCCGGGGCCTTGTACAGCGGAGAAGGGAGGGAGACAG